AAAAGTCATACAGTAGTAAAAAAAAGATGTGCTTGGAAAGTCCATAAATTTTCTTCCCTTTAAAAATTTCAAAAAATATTTTGAAAAGAACTAGAGTTCCTTTTTAAAAAACTTAACACAACCATCATAATTGCTGCAGATTCACCGCTTTGCTATAAAAATAGCTTAAAATTCAATGTTAATTTAGATAAAAATTTTAATTCTAGCATAATTAAGAAAAATGAAAAAAAAATCTCCCAAAATGCAAATGACGCTGTTTTGGCTCTAACACTTAAAACAGTATTTATTATGATTATCACTTTCAATTAGCTTATTTAATAGAATTATACTTGTTTTGTAACGACATCATCTGTTTAGGACCACTGTAATGATTAAATAAAACTCCTTAAGTGCAATCAGCTTTTGGCTTTGCCTCCTCTACCATGCTCCCGGGCAGTGAAGACTCACTCAGTGAATGCACACGCGTCAGTTAAAGTCCATGGCTTACATTCCATTGGTGTAAATAGCTCCATATGCAAGTGTGTTATTTTCTTTGTGCAAAGTCTTAAATTCAAAAGTAAAGGGCAAAAATGTGGGAAAGGTTCTTTTCACTACTGAGGGAGAGACAGAATATTTTTCTTTTTCTTTCTTTTTTTTGCCCTGGTACCAGGGATCAAAGTCGGGATTTGCTAGGCAGGCACTTAAGCCACTGAGCTATCTGCACAGCTGACAAAATTATTTTTCAATTTGTTTTTGTTTGCTTGAGACAGGGTCTCACTGTGTAGTTCAGACTGGCCTGAACTCTTGGCAGTCCTCCTGCCTCAGCTTCCCTTGTCCCAGGATTATGGACACCCTGGCTCTAACATATTCATCATACTGAGAAGGACTATTTTGCTGTCATCACATAGACGTTGATAATACAGTGCCATCAGGGGAATGCACACAGACTCACAGGAATCAGTGAAGCCCCCGGAGATACATGCAAATATCTGGAAGCTAATTTTATCCGGCACTTAGTTGCTAAATTAGTTGGGGACAAGAGAAGAGCAAGAGACCAGGAGGCTCCGGGCAGTGGAGGAGCCCCAGCTCCCGCTCGCTCCTTTCCACAGGCTCTGTCCCTGCCTCCCTCCAGCCCAGGGCACATCCTGCTCGCCTCTCCCACCTCAGTGAGAGGTACCTTTCCCCGGGGTCACAGTGACAGCCCTGATGAAGGAGACACGACGCGGGCACTGGGCAGCGCTGCTCGGCAGACCCCGCTCACGTCTCCACTCAGCACCAGCAGGGCAGCGCGGGCTTGGCCTCGGGCTTCAGGGCCACCCTGCGCCAGGGGGCTGGCTGAGCACGAGCGGGCTGTGGCTCTGGAGCTCGTGCGCCAGGGTCGTGAAGACAGACTCCACGTGGTCGCTGTCGTGCGGGCTCTTGGCCGACCTCTCGAACAGCGGCAGGCTGTGCGCGTCCGCGAACTTCCACGCCAGGTCCGTGGGCACCTGCACGGCGCCGCGCAAGTCACTCTTGTTCCCCACGAGGATGCGCGGGTTGTCGCCGGCCAGCAGGTGCTGCTTGCACTCCTCGATCCAGGCCGGCAGTCTGTGGAAGCTGGCCACGTTGGTGACATCGTACACGAAGACCACGGCGTGCACGTTGCGCAGTAGTGCTGCACCGTGCTCTTGTGGAGGCGCTCCTGGCCTGCCGTGTCCCACAGCTGGATCTTGACGCGCTCCCCGGCGATCTCCACCGCTCCTTCTCGGAAATCCACCCCGATGGTGGCCTCCGTGCGGTCCGGGAAGCGGCCGGCGCAGAAGCGGTAGGTCAGACACGTCTTGCCCACATTGGAGTCGCGGATCACCATGATCTTGAAGATGCGGGAGTGGGCAGGAGGCAGACACCCCTCAGTGGCTGGCACCACGCAGCTGTTGGAGAAGCTGGCCTCCAGAGAGGACTCCATCTCCGAAGCCATTCTCCCCTCCTGCCCCCAGCCGGGAAGGAGCAGACGCTGCAAGGCGGGGTAGTGACACCACTTCGAGCACCCGGCTCTGCTGTGCAGCAAATGTCCGGGGACTCGCTGGCCAGCCATGTGTGCGCACCGCCCTCCCGCGTGCCACATCTTTCAGTAGTCTGTATAGGGTTGGCTTTGAGATCATGAAATTCTTTAGTTGTTCTTTGTCATGGAAGTATTTCGCTTCTCCCTCAAATGTGAAAGAGAGTTTTGCAGGATATAGTGGTCTAGGTTGGAATTTGTTTTCATAGAAGACTTGAAGTACTCTGCTCCATGCTCTTCCTGACTTCATGGTTTGTGAAGAGAAGTCTGCCTTTATTCTGAAGGGTTTTCCTTTGAATGTTACCTGTTTCTTTTCTCGAGTGGCTTTCAGTATATTGTTCTTGTGCTGGATTTCTGGGATCTTGACTATTATATGTCTCCATGTGTTTTTAATTGTGTTGATGTTATTTGGAGTTTTCTATGCTTTGGTTACCTGGATGTCAGATTGTTGGCCCATATTTGGGAAGTTTTCTGCTATTACTTCTGCCCATATTCTGTTTATATCATTTGTATTGACTCCTTCTTTCTCTTTGATACCTATTAATCTCACATTGTTCATCTTTGCATCGTCCTGCAGGTGATGAATTATTTTTTCCTGCATCCTAGTTGTTTTTAAGAGGTCTTTTCTTACCTTTTCACTAGCTGCAATGATGTCTTCAAGATCTGAAACTCTATCTTCACTTTCACTCAATCAGTTTTGCAAGCTTGTGATTGAGATTTTAAGTTCATCTATACCTCTTTGACTCTGATTCATGCGATCTATTCTTTCCTATATTGCTCATTCAAGCATTCCATTGTTTTTGTAATCTCTATTTTTTTTTTTTTACCAGTGTCTTCTTGAGAAGCAGTTATTGTCTTTCATTATAGTTTTCCTTCCTTTTTTTACTTCAAAGTTGATTTCTGATCTGATTTCCTCTATATGTTTCTGGAGTTGATTCTTTACTTCAGATGTTATTAATTCAGAGATTTCTTCTTTATTTCAGAGGTTATTGCTGATCTGAGTTCCTCTATACATTTCTGCAGTTGTTTCTTTACTTAGACGTTATTCATTCAGATATTTCAGCTGTATAATTCTGAGTTTCTTCTCAGTTTCTTGCTAGCGTCTTCTGCACTTATTCTGGGTGGGCTCAGGGCCTGAGATTGCATTTTGCTCCTTCTCTTTGTCATTTTGTATAGCACTATCCTCTGACCTTTGGTGTAGAGCTGTGGTGCAGTTATAACTTTAGCACTTACTGAAAGTCTTACCCAAGAGAGATTCTATATGATTAAGGCAGTTATAGTTTTGTATTCAGAGAACTACAATAAGGAACACTAATAATGGGTAATGGTATTTAGCAGTGGACAAATTTTTGTAACTAGTGGGCTTGTATTTTATACAGTAAGAACAATCATTATGATTATATAGCTAAGCAGAAATTAAATTGGGAATTTGTACTTAAGTTAGTTCTGCTAAGTTCTATCTGATCACCTCCCCTTGATGTACTTGGTGTTTTCTAGGCAGACCAGGTCACTCTGGTTACCTTTTTCCTCCTCTCTCAGTCAAGAGAGAAAGAGGGAGGATGTTTTTATAGATCTGAGTCTCCAGCAAAGTTTCTCAGCTTACTGGGTGCAGATCTACAAAGTTGGAATTCATCCAGTTGTGCCTGGCTTGGGTCTGGCTGCTGTGCTCAGCTTCTTTCTGCTGCAGCCCTTGGAAGTGAACCTGTTGTGTCCCTTTGACAATATGTTCTGCTGCTGGATTAGCTGGGTGGTTCTGGCCCCCAGGCTCTCTGCAGGGACGTTAGCCGCAGCGTTTCACACTAGGCCTATACGCCAGGCCTGGGCTGTGTCTGGAGGGGTCCAGAGAGCAGGAGAGAAGGACTCATTCACAAGTGGGTCTGGGCTGGGTCTGGAGGGATCCAGCAGGCAAAGGGAAGCGTGGAAGCTCTCTCATACACTTGCCAGGCCTGGGCTTGGGCTGTGTCCAGAGGGGTCCTGAGAGAGCGATTTTCTTTTCTTTTCTTTCTTTTTTTTTTTTAAATTCTTTTCTGTGTGTCATTGGCCTGGAATATTGCTGGCACATAGTAAGTGCTCAATAAATATTTGTGGGATGAATGCTTAAAGGGTAAGAACCATTGTAACTTTCTTTTTTGTGTAAAATTCATATGTTACTTACAAAAATTGAAAAAACAAGAACTTGAAGGGAAAAAAATAACATGTTCCATTTTTTCTGTGCACCAAAAATAGAACACTGGGCACAAGGAGGTTAGCATGGCATAAGAAGTCATGCAGAGTGTTACCAGTGTGCGCTCCAGCGCCGTTTTCTATCAATACTTCCGGTACACAAGTCATGCTCCTGCCACATGCAATTGCCCATCTTCCCAAACTATACCTTGCTCTATCATGTTCCTGTGTTTTCACACAGCTGCTTTGTCTTTCTGAAACACCCTCCTCCCTGCTTTTTGACAAACTTCTTCCCACTTTGCATGACCTAATTCAAATACCTTCCTCTCTGGGATGCCGCTCTCGATTCCCAAAGGTAGCCTCAATTCTTCTCTCTTTTGAAGTCCCCAGGCCTCTGCTAATCCCCCTGGTGAAAAACCGTCTCTGCTGAGTTGGGTGCACCAACAATTACTGTGGGTGCTACACCCCCTAGCCAGGCCCCGGAGTGGTGTTGAACCACACCACAATCTAACCTGAAGTTGTCCATCCTGATGGCCTTGCTGAATGTGTGACTAATGTTGGTGCCTACGAACAGCTGTAATATTGTTACATGTATAACACATGGCTGTGCCCTTGATGTATAGGAAAATAAAGGCTCAATTTCTCAGGCTCTATGGTGTCCAATTCAATTTTCCTGGGTCTTATCTCATAAAAGCTGTCAGGGTTCTGCTTTGGTCTGTGGCGTCAGAAAAATAGAATTTATATTCTTGGTATTGGCTAGGCAGAGAATAGTACCTTGCTGATGTCGGAAGGTTGCCTTCTAAAAACAATAGAGGTTATAGGGGACCTCCCTACTGAGATGTGCTGCAATGTGTGCCTCATGGTGATGACTGCAGGAGGATCCACCCCTAGCAAGTGTCTAGCTAGCTGAGAAGGGGTGGAGGTGTTGGCCCACGTAGCCCTGCTTTCTGCCTCATTTGAAAGCAGCAGTGTCGGGAGCTGCCTTTAAACAACTCAGTGCTGCCCTGCAGAGCCGCAGGCATGCAGCAGGGCTTCTGAGGGCCGCATGAACGCCAGCTTTCTCTGTGTCCTGCCTCATGTGTGGACATGCGCACCAAATGGGGAGAAATGGAAGGATAATAGGCTTAGGAGTCAGATAGTATGGGGTCCCAGTTCTGTCTGCATCACCTGTATGGCCATGGTCAGGTGAGTTAATCTGCTTTAGTTCACTCCATCAGATGGAGACAATGATACTAACATTGCAAACTTGTTATGGAAAGCAGTGAAATAATATGTATGCAACTATTTAATATAACCTGAGTCTGTGAAAGTACCATAACTAATATTATCAAAAGGCAGCAAGTGTGAATTCTGGCTTTAGCCTTTGTATCTTTAAGTGGTATTAAGCCTGGAGCTAATGGAAGATATTGGAGTTGATGCTTGCTCTTTTTAGTTTGATTTTAGTTTTTAATTTTTTTTTTTCTGTATTTTAGGGAAGGGTCTAAAGGGTGTTCAGGGTCTCACTACTAGATCGGACTCGTAGTGATCTGCCTGTTTACAGCCTCTCAAGAGCTGGGATTACAGGTGCTCCACCATGCCCAGTCTCAATTGTCATCTCAGCGTGCTCCTGGGGGTGGGGCCAGCAGGGCAGGCCTAGGGATCAAACCCTGGCCCCTGTGCCTGCTTGTAGGTGCTTTAATCTGCTGAGCTATTTGGCTGGCCCTATTTTTTAAATTTTTGAGACAGTTTTGTTACATAATTCAGGTTGGCCTCAGATTTACAGAGATCATTCTGCCTCAGTTCCCCAAGTGCTGGCCTTACAGAGGCACATGACACCACACAGAGCTGACACTTGTTCTTATCTCCAAAGCACCCCCTGGCCTGTGGGAACTTGTTCTGGGCTTCCTCACATCAACAAGGGCAACAAACTACCGCTCTTTCTTTTGTCATTCAAATTTGATCTTCTGGGAAGCTTAGAGCCACATTGCCTCCAGGGCCACCATTCCATTCTTTTCTCAGTCCTCCACAGTCCCAGGACCCCAGCCACTTCCCAAGATGCTGCAGCCTAGATCTCTTGGGCACCTTGCTACATGCTGAACACTTTCCACATCCCAGCTTACAATTGCACCCGTCATGGAAATTCCTCAGTTCTTGAAACTTTCTCCTTCCTCACCTTTCCTCTTTGATTTTCTAGTTATTTTTCGGTCTTCTTCATAGGTTTCCTTTGCACAATTCTCAATTTCTGCTGTCCCTGAGGTTTCTTCCTTTTCTCTTTCTAGTCATTGGCCCTGGATACGGCCACTGCTGCGGGGCTCCCACATCCCTCCTCTGCAGTGCTTCTGAATATTAGCTCTTCCCTGGTTTTCAGCCCCAGACCAGCTTCGCTCTGATCCTTCAGTGTGGGTACAAAGTAGAGAACAGCTCCCAAGCTCACCCCTGGGCTCTCATCTCCCCAGGTGCCCAGGCAGGGATGCTGGAGCTAACCCAGATTGTTGCCCTCCTCCACACCCTATCAGTCTCAGGTCCTGTTGTTGAGACCTTGTAAGTCACTCAGCTGTTCCTTCCTCTCTCCAACTCCGTGGCCTCTTGGAGTTGCTTTAGGTGGGCACATGTAAAGGCGTAGTATGGATGGCAAAGACTAACTGAACAAGGAAACAAATGAGGGAAAAGCAGGAAAGTGGGAATAAAGGAAGAAAAAAAGGAAGGGAAAAAAAGAAAAGTGAAGGAAAACATAGCCAACAAAGAAGCTGGATGGCTCATGGAAAAATGACTGTGAG